CCATTGACACCTTTAGTGTGGGAGGACCATTGACACCTTTAGTGTGGGAGGACCATTGACACCTTTAGTGTGGGAGGACCAAGTCAGTTGACACCTTTAGTGTGGGAGGACCAAGTCAGTTGACACCTTTAGTGTGGGAGGACCAAGTCAGTTGACACCTTTAGTGTGGGAGGACCATTGACACCTTTAGTGTGGGAGGACCATTGACACCTTTAGTGTGGGAGGACCAAGTAAGTTGACACCTTTAGTGTGGGAGGACCAAGTAAGTTGACACCTTTAGTGTGGGAGGACCATTGACACCTTTAGTGTGGGAGGACCAAGTAAGTTGACACCTTTAGTGTGGGAGAACCATTGACACCTTTAGTGTGGGAGGACCAAGTAAGTTGACACCTTTAGTGTGGGAGGACCAAGTAAGTTGACACCTTTAGTGTGGGAGGACCATTGACACCTTTAGTGTGGGAGGACCAAGTCAGTTGACACCTTTAGTGTGGGAGGACCATTGACACCTTTAGTGTGGGAGGACCAAGTCAGTTGACACCTTTAGTGTGGGAGGACCATTGACACCTTTAGTGTGGGAGGACCATTGACACCTTTAGTGTGGGAGGACCAAGTCAGTTGACACCTTTAGTGTGGGAGGACCAAGTCAGTTGACACCTTTAGTGTGGGAGGACCAAGTCAGTTGACACCTTTAGTGTGGGAGGACCATTCACACCTTTAGTGTGGGAGGACCAAGTAAGTTGACACCTTTAGTGTGGGAGGACCAAGTCAGTTGACACCTTTAGTGTGGGAGGACCATTGACACCTTTAGTGTGGGAGAACCATTGACACCTTTAGTGTGGGAGGACCATTGACACCTTTAGTGTGGGAGGACCATTGACACCTTTAGTGTGGGAGGACCATTGACACCTTTAGTGTGGGAGGACCATTGACACCTTTAGTGTGGGAGGACCATTGACACCTTTAGTGTGGGAGGACCAAGTCAGTTGACACCTTTAGTGTGGGAGAACCATTGACACCTTTAGTGTGGGAGGACCAAGTCAGTTGACACCTTTAGTGTGGGAGAACCATTGACACCTTTAGTGTGGGAGGACCAAGTCAGTTGACACCTTTAGTGTGGGAGGACCAAGTCAGTTGACACCTTTAGTGTGGGAGGACCAAGTCAGTTGGCACCTTTAGTGTGGGAGGACCATTGACACCTTTAGTGTGGGAGGACCATTGACACCTTTAGTGTGGGAGGACCAAGTCAGTTGACACCTTTAGTGTGGGAGAACCATTGACACCTTTAGTGTGGGAGGACCATTGACACCTTTAGTGTGGGAGGACCAAGTCAGTTGACACCTTTAGTGTGGGAGAACCATTGACACCTTTAGTGTGGGAGGACCATTGACACCTTTAGTGTGGGAGGACCATTGACACCTTTAGTGTGGGAGGACCAAGTCAGTTGACACCTTTAGTGTGGGAGAACCATTGACACCTTTAGTGTGGGAGGACCAAGTCAGTTGACACCTTTAGTGTGGGAGAACCATTGACACCTTTAGTGTGGGAGGACCAAGTCAGTTGACACCTTTAGTGTGGGAGGACCAAGTCAGTTGACACCTTTAGTGTGGGAGGACCAAGTCAGTTGGCACCTTTAGTGTGGGAGGACCATTGACACCTTTAGTGTGGGAGGACCATTGACACCTTTAGTGTGGGAGGACCAAGTCAGTTGACACCTTTAGTGTGGGAGAACCATTGACACCTTTAGTGTGGGAGGACCAAGTCAGTTGACACCTTTAGTGTGGGAGAACCATTGACACCTTTAGTGTGGGAGGACCAAGTCAGTTGACACCTTTAGTGTGGGAGGACCAAGTAAGTTGACACCTTTAGTGTGGGAGGACCAAGTCAGTTGACACCTTTAGTGTGGGAGAACCATTGACACCTTTAGTGTGGGAGGACCAAGTCAGTTGACACCTTTAGTGTGGGAGGACCAAGTAAGTTGACACCTTTAGTGTGGGAGGACCAAGTCAGTTGACACCTTTAGTGTGGGAGAACCATTGACACCTTTAGTGTGGGAGGACCAAGTCAGTTGACACCTTTAGTGTGGGAGAACCATTGACACCTTTAGTGTGGGAGGACCATTGACACCTTTAGTGTGGGAGGACCATTGACACCTTTAGTGTGGGAGGACCAAGTCAGTTGACACCTTTAGTGTGGGAGGACCAAGTCAGTTGACACCTTTAGTGTGGGAGGACCAAGTCAGTTGACACCTTTAGTGTGGGAGGACCATTGACACCTTTAGTGTGGGAGGACCATTGACACCTTTAGTGTGGGAGGACCAAGTAAGTTGACACCTTTAGTGTGGGAGGACCAAGTAAGTTGACACCTTTAGTGTGGGAGGACCATTGACACCTTTAGTGTGGGAGGACCAAGTAAGTTGACACCTTTAGTGTGGGAGAACCATTGACACCTTTAGTGTGGGAGGACCAAGTAAGTTGACACCTTTAGTGTGGGAGGACCAAGTAAGTTGACACCTTTAGTGTGGGAGGACCATTGACACCTTTAGTGTGGGAGGACCAAGTCAGTTGACACCTTTAGTGTGGGAGGACCATTGACACCTTTAGTGTGGGAGGACCAAGTCAGTTGACACCTTTAGTGTGGGAGGACCATTGACACCTTTAGTGTGGGAGGACCATTGACACCTTTAGTGTGGGAGGACCAAGTCAGTTGACACCTTTAGTGTGGGAGGACCAAGTCAGTTGACACCTTTAGTGTGGGAGGACCAAGTCAGTTGACACCTTTAGTGTGGGAGGACCATTCACACCTTTAGTGTGGGAGGACCATTGACACCTTTAGTGTGGGAGGACCAAGTAAGTTGACACCTTTAGTGTGGGAGGACCAAGTAAGTTGACACCTTTAGTGTGGGAGGACCATTGACACCTTTAGTGTGGGAGGACCAAGTAAGTTGACACCTTTAGTGTGGGAGGACCAAGTAAGTTGACACCTTTAGTGTGGGAGGACCATTGACACCTTTAGTGTGGGAGGACCAAGTAAGTTGACACCTTTAGTGTGGGAGGACCATTGACACCTTTAGTGTGGGAGGACCAAGTAAGTTGACACCTTTAGTGTGGGAGGACCAAGTCAGTTGACACCTTTAGTGTGGGAGGACCAAGTAAGTTGACACCTTTAGTGTGGGAGGACCATTGACACCTTTAGTGTGGGAGGACCAAGTCAGTTGACACCTTTAGTGTGGGAGGACCAAGTCAGTTGACACCTTTAGTGTGGGAGGACCATTGACACCTTTAGTGTGGGAGGACCAAGTCAGTTGACACCTTTAGTGTGGGAGGACCAAGTCAGTTGACACCTTTAGTGTGGGAGGACCAAGTCAGTTGACACCTTTAGTGTGGGAGGACCAAGTAAGTTGACACCTTTAGTGTGGGAGGACCAAGTCAGTTGACACCTTTAGTGTGGGAGGACCAAGTAAGTTGACACCTTTAGTGTGGGAGGACCATTGACACCTTTAGTGTGGGAGGACCAAGTCAGTTGACACCTTTAGTGTGGGAGGACCAAGTCAGTTGACACCTTTAGTGTGGGAGGACCATTGACACCTTTAGTGTGGGAGGACCAAGTCAGTTGACACCTTTAGTGTGGGAGGACCAAGTCAGTTGACACCTTTAGTGTGGGAGGACCAAGTAAGTTGACACCTTTAGTGTGGGAGGACCATTGACACCTTTAGTGTGGGAGGACCAAGTAAGTTGACACCTTTAGTGTGGGAGGACCATTCACACCTTTAGTGTGGGAGGACCATTGACACCTTTAGTGTGGGAGGACCAAGTCAGTTGACACCTTTAGTGTGGGAGGACCAAGTCAGTTGACACCTTTAGTGTGGGAGGACCAAGTAAGTTGACACCTTTAGTGTGGGAGGACCAAGTCAGTTGACACCTTTAGTGTGGGAGGACCATTGACACCTTTAGTGTGGGAGGACCATTGACACCTTTAGTGTGGGAGGACCATTGACACCTTTAGTGTGGGAGGACCATTGACACCTTTAGTGTGGGAGGACCATTGACACCTTTAGTGTGGGAGGACCATTGACACCTTTAGTGTGGGAGGACCATTGACACCTTTAGTGTGGGAGGACCATTGACACCTTTAGTGTGGGAGGACCATTGACACCTTTAGTGTGGGAGGACCAAGTCAGTTGACACCTTTAGTGTGGGAGGACCAAGTCAGTTGACACCTTTAGTGTGGGAGAACCATTGACACCTTTAGTGTGGGAGGACCAAGTCAGTTGACACCTTTAGTGTGGGAGGACCATTCACACCTTTAGTGTGGGAGGACCAAGTCAGTTGACACTTTTAGTGTGGGAGGACCATTGACACCTTTAGTGTGGGAGGACCAAGTCAGTTGACACCTTTAGTGTGGGAGGACCAAGTCAGTTGACACTTTTAGTGTGGGAGAACCATTGACACCTTTAGTGTGGGAGGACCATTGACACCTTTAGTGTGGGAGGACCATTGACACCTTTAGTGTGGGAGGACCAAGTCAGTTGACACCTTTAGTGTGGGAGGACCAAGTCAGTTGACACCTTTAGTGTGGGAGGACCAAGTCAGTTGACACCTTTAGTGTGGGAGGACCATTGACACCTTTAGTGTGGGAGGACCAAGTCAGTTGACACCTTTAGTGTGGGAGGACCAAGTCAATTGACACCTTTAGTGTGGGAGGACCATTGACACCTTTAGTGTGGGAGGACCATTGACACCTTTAGTGTGGGAGGACCAAGTCAGTTGACACCTTTAGTGTGGGAGGACCATTGACACCTTTAGTGTGGGAGGACCATTCACACCTTTAGTGTGGGAGGACCATTCACACCTTTAGTGTGGGAGGACCATTGACACCTTTAGTGTGGGAGGACCAAGTAAGTTGACACTTTTAGTGTGGGAGGACCAAGTCAGTTGACACCTTTAGTGTGGGAGGACCAAGTCAGTTGACACCTTTAGTATGTTAAATTCCTGAAATTTCAGTATAGTGAGAGAGCTAATCAAGCATGACAAGACTATAGTCAATGATGAGGATGAAAACTCCAACACAGCCCTGCATGTAGCTGCACGCTATGGCCATCATAAGGTCGCTCAAATTCTCTTAAACTTTGGAGCTGATGTATCTGCAAGGTCAGTCATTGATTCCACTTGGTGTGTGGGTTTATTCTAGTTGTTGTGTGGGTTTATTCTAGTTGTGTGGGTTTATTCTACTTGTTGTGTGGGTTTATTCTACTTGTTGTGTGGGTTTATTCTACTTGTGTGGGTTTATTCTACTTGTTGTGTGGGTTTATTCTACTTGTTGTGTGGGTTTATTCTACTTGTTGTGTGGGTTTATTCTACTTGTTGTGTGGGTTTATTCTACTTGTTGTGTGGGTTTATTCTAGTTGTGTGGGTTTATTCTACTTGTTGTGTGGGTTTATTCTACTTGTTGTGTGGGTTTATTCTACTTGTTGTGTGGGTTTATTCTACTTGTTGTGTGGGTTTATTCTACTTGTGTGGGTTTATTCTACTTGTGTGGGTTTATTCTACTTGTTGTGTGGGTTTATTCTACTTGTGTGGGTTTATTCTACTTGTTGTGTGGGTTTATTCTACTTGTTGTGTGGGTTTATTCTACTTGTTGTGTGGGTTTATTCTACTTGTTGTGTGGGTTTATTCTACTTGTGTGGGTTTATTCTACTTGTGTGGGTTTATTCTACTTGTTGTGTGGGTTTATTCTACTTGTTGTGTGGGTTTATTCTACTTGTTGTGTGGGTTTATTCTACTTGTTGTGTGGGTTTATTCCACTTGTGTGGGTTTATTCTACTTGTTGTGTGGGTTTATTCTACTTGTTGTGTGGGTTTATTCTACTTGTTGTGTGGGTTTATTCTAGTTGTTGTGTGGGTTTATTCTACTTGGTGTGTGGGTTTATTCCACTTGTGTGGGTTTATTCTACTTGTTGTGTGGGTTTATTCTACTTGTTGTGTGGGTTTATTCTACTTGTTGTGTGGGTTTATTCTAGTTGTTGTGTGGGTTTATTCTACTTGGTGTGTGGGTTTATTCTACTTGTTGTGTGGGTTTATTCTACTTGGTGTGTGGGTTTATTCTACTTGTGTGGGTTTATTCTACTTGTGTGGGTTTATTCTACTTGTTGTGTGGGTTTATTCTACTTGTTGTGTGGGTTTATTCTACTTGTGTGGGTTTATTCTACTTGTTGTGTGGGTTTATTCTACTTGTTGTGTGGGTTTATTCTACTTGTTGTGTGGGTTTATTCTACTTGTGTGGGTTTATTCTAGTTGTTGTGTGGGTTTATTCTACTTGTTGTGTGGGTTTATTCTACTTGTTGTGTGGGTTTATACTAGTTGTTGTGTGGGTTTATTCTAGTTGTGTGGGTTTATTCTACTTGTTGTGTGGGTTTATTCTACTTGTTGTGTGAGTTTATTCTACTTGTTGTGTGGGTTTATTCTACTTGTTGTGTGGGTTTATTCTACTTGTTATGTGGGTTTATTCTACTTGTTGTGTGGGTTTATTCTACTCTTTGTGTGGGTTTATTATACTTGGTGTGTGGGTTTATTCTACTTGGTGTGTGGGTTTATTCTACTTGTTGTGTGGGTTTATTCTACTTGTGTGGGTTTATTCTACTTGTGTGGGTTTATTCTACTTGTTGTGTGGGTTTATTCTACTTGTGTGGGTTTATTCTACTTGGTGTGTGGGTTTATTCTACTTGTTGTGTGGGTTTATTCTACTTGTTGTGTGGGTTTATTCTACTTGTGTGGGTTTATTCTACTTGTGTGGGTTTATTCTACTTGGTGTGTGGGTTTATTCTACTTGTTGTGTGGTTTTATTCTACTTGTTGTGTGGGTTTATTCTACTTGTGTGGGTTTATTCTACTTGTGTGGGTTTATTCTACTTGTTGTGTGGGTTTTTTCTACTTGTGTGGGTTTATTCTACTTGTGTGGGTTTATTCTACTTGTTGTGTGGGTTTATTCTACTTGGTGTGTGGGTTTATTCTACTTGTTGTGTGGTTTTATTCTACTTGTTGTGTGGGTTTATTCTACTTGTGTGGGTTTATTCTACTTGTGTGGGTTTATTCTACTTGTGTGGGTTTATTCTACTTGTTGTGTGGGTTTATTCTACTTGTTGTGTGGGTTTATTCTACTTGTTGTGTGGGTTTATTCTACTTGGTGTGTGGGTTTATTCTACTTGTTGTGTGGGTTTATTCTACTTGTGTGGGTTTATTCTACTTGTTGTGTGGGTTTATTCTACTTGTTGTGTGGGTTTATTCTACTTGTTGTGTGGGTTTATTCTACTTGTTGTGTGGGTTTATTCTACTTGTTATGTGGGTTTATTCTACTTGTTGTGTGGGTTTATTCTACTTGTTGTGTGGGTTTATTCTACTTGTTGTGTGGGTTTATTCTAGTTGTTGTGTGGGTTTATTCTACTTGTTGTGTGGGTTTATTCTACTTGTTGTGTGGGTTTATTCTACTTGTTGTGTGGGTTTATTCTACTTGTTGTGTGGGTTTATTCTACTTGTTGTGTGGGTTTATTCTACTTGTGTGGGTTTATTCTACTTGTTGTGTGGGTTTATTATACTTGGTGTGTGGGTTTATTCTAGTTGTTGTGTGGGTTTATTCTACTTGTTGTGTGGGTTTATTCAATTTGTTGTGTGGGTTTATTCCATTTGTTGTGTGGGTTTATTCTAGTTGAGTGGGTTTATTCTAGTTGTGTGGGTTTATTCTACTTGTTGTGTGGGTTTATTCTACTTGTTGTATGGGTTTATTCTACTTGTGTGGGTTTATTCTACTTGTTGTGTGGGTTTATTATACTTGGTGTGTGGGTTTATTCTACTTGTTGTGTGGGTTTATTCTACCTTTTGTGTGGGTTTATTCTACTTGTTGTGTGGGTTTATTATACTTGGTGTGTGGGTTTATTCTACTTGTTGTGTGGGTTTATTCTACTTGTTGTGTGGGTTTATTCTACTTGTGTTGGTTTATTCTACTTGTTGTGTGGGTTTATTCTTCTTGGTGTGTGGGTTTATTCTAGTTGTCGTGTGGGTTTATTCTAGTTGTTGTGTGGGTTTATTCTACTTGTTGTGTGGGTTTATTCTACTTGTTGTGTGGGTTTATTCTACTTGTTGTGTGGGTTTATTCTACTTGTTGTGTGGGTTTATTCTACTAGTTGTGTGGGTTTATTCTACTTGTTGTGTGGGTTTATTCTACTTGGTGTGTGGGTTTATTCTACTTGTTGTGTGGGTTTATTCTAGTTGTTGTGTGGGTTTATTCTACTTGTTGTGTGGGTTTATTCTACTTGTGTGGGTTTATTCTATTTGTTGTGTGGGTTTATTCTACTTGTTGTGTGGGTTTAGTCTACTTGTGTGGGTTTATTCTACTTGGTGTGTGGGTTTATTCTAGGTGTGTGGGTTTATTCTACTTGTGTGGGTTTATTCTACTTGTGTGGGTTTATTATACTTGTTGTGTGGGTTTATTCTACTTGTTGTGTGGGTTTATTCTACTTGTTGTGTGGGTTTATTCTACTTGTTGTGTGTGTTTATTCTACTTGTTGTGTGGGTTTATTCTACTTGTTGTGTGGGTTTATTCTACTTGTTGTGTGGGTTTATTCTACTTGTTGTGTGGGTTTATTCTACTTGTTGTGTGGGTTTATTCTACTTGTTGTGTGGGTTTATTCTACTTGTTGTGTGGGTTTATTATACTTGTTGTGTGGGTTTATTCTAGTTGTGTGGGTTTATTCTACTCTTTGTGTGGGTTTATTATACTTGGTGTGTGGGTTTATTCTACTTGTTATGTGGGTTTATTCTACTTGTTGTGTGGGTTTATTCTACTTGTTGTGTGGGTTTATTCTACTTGTTGTGTGGGTTTATTCTAGTTGTGTGGGTTTATTCTACTTGTTGTGTGGGTTTATTCTACTTGTTGTGTGGGTTTATTCCACTTGTGTGGGTTTATTCTACTTGTTGTGTGGGTTTATTCTACTTGTTGTGTGGGTTTATTCAATTTGTTGTGTGGGTTTATTCCATTTGTTGTGTGGGTTTATTCTAGTTGTGTGGGTTTATTCTAGGTGTGTGGGTTTAATCCACTTGTTGTGTGGGTTTATTCTACTTGTTGTGTGGGTTTATTCTAGTTGTTGTGTGGGTTTATTCTACTTGTTGTGTGGGTTTATTCTACTTGTTGTGTGGGTTTATTCTACTTGTTGTGTGGGTTTATTCTACTTGTTGTGTGGGTTTATTCTAGTTGTTGTGTGGGTTTATTCTAGTTGTGTGGGTTTATTCTACTTGTTGTGTGGGTTTATTCTACTTGTTGTGTGGGTTTATTCTACTTGTTGTGTGGGTTTATTCTAGTTGTTGTGTGGGTTTATTCTAGTTGTGTGGGTTTATTCTACTTGTTGTGTGGGTTTATTCTACTTGTTGTGTGGGTTTATTCTACTTGTTGTGTGGGTTTATTCTACTTGTTGTGTGGGTTTATTCTACTTGTTGTGTGGGTTTATTCTACTTGTTGTGTGGGTTTATTCTAGTTGTGTGGGTTTATTCTAGTTGTGTGGGTTTATTCTACTTGTTGTGTGGGTTTATTCTACTTGTTGTGTGGGTTTATTCTACTTGTTGTGTGGGTTTATTCTACTTGTTGTGTGGGTTTATTCTACTTGTTGTGTGGGTTATTCTAGTTGTTGTGTGGGTTTATTCTACTTGTTGTGTGGGTTTATTCTACTAGTTGTGTGGGTTTATTCCACTTGTGTGGGTTTATTCTACTTGTTGTGTGGGTTTATTCTACTTGTTGTGTGGGTTTATTCCACTTGGTGTGTGGGTTTATTCTACTTGTTGTGTGGGTTTATTCTACTTGTTGTGTGGGTTTATTCTAGTTGTTGTGTGGGTTTATTCTACTTGTTGTGTGGGTTTATTCTACTTGTTGTGTGGGTTTATTCTACTTGTTGTGTGGGTTTATTCTACTTGTTGTGTGGGTTTATTCTACTTGTGTGGGTTTATTCTACTTGTTGTGTGGGTTTATTCTAGTTGTTGTGTGGGTTTATTCTTCTTGGTGTGTGGGTTTATTCTACTTGTTGTGTGGGTTTATTCCACTTGGTGTGTGGGTTTATTCTACTTGGTGTGTGGGTTTATTCTACTTGTTGTGTGGGTTTATTCTACTTGTTGTGTGGGTTTATTCTACTTGTTGTGTGGGTTTATTCTACTTGTTGTGTGGGTTTATTCTAGTTGTGTGGGTTTATTCTACTTGTGTGGGTTTATTCTACTTGTTGTGTGGGTTTATTCTACTTGTTGTGTGGGTTTATTCTACTTGTTGTGTGGGTTTATTCTACTTGTTGTGTGGGTTTATTCTAGTTGTGTGGGTTTATTCTACTTGTGTGGGTTTATTCTACTTGTTGTGTGGGTTTATTCCACTTGTTGTGTGGGTTTATTCTACTTGTGTGGGTTTATTCTACTTGTTGTGTGGGTTTATTCTACTTGTTGTGTGGGTTTATTCCACTTGTTGTGTGGGTTTATTCTACTTGTGTGGGTTTATTCTACTTGTTGTGTGGGTTTATTATACTTGTTGTGTGGGTTTATTCTACTTGTTGTGTGGGTTTATTCTACTTGTTGTGTGGGTTTATTCTACTTGTTGTGTGGGTTTATTCCACTTGTGTGGGTTTATTCTACTTGTTGTGTGGGTTTATTCTACTTGTTGTGTGGGTTTATTCAATTTGTTGTGTGGGTTTATTCCATTTGTTGTGTGGGTTTATTCTAGTTGTGTGGGTTTATTCTAGGTGTGTGGGTTTAATCCACTTGTTGTGTGGGTTTATTCTACTTGTTGTGTGGGTTTATTCTAGTTGTTGTGTGGGTTTATTCTACTTGTTGTGTGGGTTTATTCTACTTGTTGTGTGGGTTTATTCTACTTGTTGTGTGGGTTTATTCTACTTGTTGTGTGGGTTTATTCTAGTTGTTGTGTGGGTTTATTCTAGTTGTGTGGGTTTATTCTACTTGTTGTGTGGGTTTATTCTACTTGTTGTGTGGGTTTATTCTACTTGTTGTGTGGGTTTATTCTAGTTGTTGTGTGGGTTTATTCTAGTTGTGTGGGTTTATTCTACTTGTTGTGTGGGTTTATTCTACTTGTTGTGTGGGTTTATTCTACTTGTTGTGTGGGTTTATTCTACTTGTTGTGTGGGTTTATTCTACTTGTTGTGTGGGTTTATTCTACTTGTTGTGTGGGTTTATTCTAGTTGTGTGGGTTTATTCTAGTTGTGTGGGTTTATTCTACTTGTTGTGTGGGTTTATTCTACTTGTTGTGTGGGTTTATTCTACTTGTTGTGTGGGTTTATTCTACTTGTTGTGTGGGTTTATTCTACTTGTTGTGTGGGTTATTCTAGTTGTTGTGTGGGTTTATTCTACTTGTTGTGTGGGTTTATTCTACTAGTTGTGTGGGTTTATTCCACTTGTGTGGGTTTATTCTACTTGTTGTGTGGGTTTATTCTACTTGTTGTGTGGGTTTATTCCACTTGGTGTGTGGGTTTATTCTACTTGTTGTGTGGGTTTATTCTACTTGTTGTGTGGGTTTATTCTAGTTGTTGTGTGGGTTTATTCTACTTGTTGTGTGGGTTTATTCTACTTGTTGTGTGGGTTTATTCTACTTGTTGTGTGGGTTTATTCTACTTGTTGTGTGGGTTTATTCTACTTGTGTGGGTTTATTCTACTTGTTGTGTGGGTTTATTCTAGTTGTTGTGTGGGTTTATTCTTCTTGGTGTGTGGGTTTATTCTACTTGTTGTGTGGGTTTATTCCACTTGGTGTGTGGGTTTATTCTACTTGGTGTGTGGGTTTATTCTACTTGTTGTGTGGGTTTATTCTACTTGTTGTGTGGGTTTATTCTACTTGTTGTGTGGGTTTATTCTACTTGTTGTGTGGGTTTATTCTAGTTGTGTGGGTTTATTCTACTTGTGTGGGTTTATTCTACTTGTTGTGTGGGTTTATTCTACTTGTTGTGTGGGTTTATTCTACTTGTTGTGTGGGTTTATTCTACTTGTTGTGTGGGTTTATTCTAGTTGTGTGGGTTTATTCTACTTGTGTGGGTTTATTCTACTTGTTGTGTGGGTTTATTCCACTTGTTGTGTGGGTTTATTCTACTTGTGTGGGTTTATTCTACTTGTTGTGTGGGTTTATTCTACTTGTTGTGTGGGTTTATTCCACTTGTTGTGTGGGTTTATTCTACTTGTGTGGGTTTATTCTACTTGTTGTGTGGGTTTATTATACTTGTTGTGTGGGTTTATTCTACTTGTTGTGTGGGTTTATTCTACTTGTTGTGTGGGTTTATTCTACTTGTTGTGTGGGTTTATTCTAGTTGTTGTGTGGGTTTATTCTACTTGTTGTGTGGGTTTATTCTAGTTGTGTGGGTTTATTCTACTTGTTGTGTGGGTTTATTCTAGTTGTTGTGTGGGTTTATTCTACTTGGTGTGTGGGTTTATTCTACTTGTTGTGTGGGTTTATTCTTCTTGGTGTGTGGGTTTATTCTTCTCTTTGTGTGGGTTTATTCTACTTGTTGTGTGGGTTTATTCTACTTGTTGTGTGGGTTTATTCTACTTGTGTGGGTTTATTCTACTTGTTGTGTGGGTTTATTCTACTTGTTGTGTGGGTTTATTCTACTTGTTGTGTGGGTTTATTCTACTTGTTGTGTGGGTTTATTCCACTTGTGTGGGTTTATTCTACTTGTTGTGTGGGTTTATTCTACTTGTTGTGTGGGTTTATTCTACTTGGTGTGTGGGTTTATTCTACTTGTTGTGTGGGTTTATTCTACTTGGTGTGTGGGTTTATTCTACTTGTTGTGTGGGTTTATTCTACTTGTTGTGTGGGTTTATTCCACTTGTGTGGGTTTATTCTACTTGTTGTGTGGGTTTATTCTACTTGTTGTGTGGGTTTATTCTACTTGGTGTGTGGGTTTATTCTACTTGTTGTGTGGGTTTATTCTACTTGTTGTGTGGGTTTATTCTACTTGGTGTGTGGGTTTATTCTACTTGTTGTGTGGGTTTATTCTACTTGTGTGGGTTTATTCTACTTGTGTGGGTTTATTCTAGGTGTGTGGGTTTATTCTAGTTGTGTGGGTTTATTCTACTTGTTGTGTGGGTTTATTCTACTTGTTGTGTGGGTTTATTCTACTTGTTGTGTGGGTTTATTCTACTTGGTGTGTGGGTTTATTCTACTTGTTGTGTGGGTTTATTCTACTTGTTGTGTGGGTTTATTCTACTTGTTGTGTGGGTTTATTCTACTTGTTGTGTGGGTTTATTCTACTTGTTGTGTGGGTTTATTCTACTTGTTGTGTGGGTTTATTCTAGTTGTGTGGGTTTATTCTACTTGTGTGGGTTTATTCTACTTGTTGTGTGGGTTTATTCCACTTGTGTGGGTTTATTCTACTTGTTGTGTGGGTTTATTCTACTTGTTGTGTGGGTTTATTCTACTTGGTGTGTGGGTTTATTCTACTTGTTGTGTGGGTTTATTCTACTTGGTGTGTGGGTTTATTCTACTTGTTGTGTGGGTTTATTCTACTTGTTGTGTGGGTTTATTCCACTTGTGTGGGTTTATTCTACTTGTTGTGTGGGTTTATTCTACTTGTTGTGTGGGTTTATTCTACTTGGTGTGTGGGTTTATTCTACTTGTTGTGTGGGTTTATTCTACTTGTTGTGTGGGTTTATTCTATTTGGTGTGTGGGTTTATTCTACTTGTTGTGTGGGTTTATTCTACTTGTGTGGGTTTATTCTACTTGTGTGGGTTTATTCTAGGTGTGTGGGTTTATTCTAGTTGTGTGGGTTTATTCTACTTGTTGTGTGGGTTTATTCTAGTTGTTGTGTGGGTTTATTCTACTTGTTGTGTGGGTTTATTCTAGTTGTTGTGTGGGTTTATTCTACTTGTTGTGTGGGTTTATTCTACTTGGTGTGTGGGTTTATTCTACTTGTTGTGTGGGTTTATTCTACTTGTGTGGGTTTATTCTACTTGTGTGGGTTTATTCTAGGTGTGTGGGTTTATTCTAGTTGTGTGGGTTTATTCTACTTGTTGTGTGGGTTTATTCTACTTGTTGTGTGGGTTTATTCTACTTGTTGTGTGGGTTTATTCTACTTGGTGTGTGGGTTTATTCTACTTGTTGTGTGGGTTTATTCTACTTGGTGTGTGGGTTTTCTCATTAATTCATTTCAGCTGGGGTTGAGCAATGGGAATTCCCATTTGCCTTATGTAACCAACTCGTAATGAGCCGAAGTATGTATCTCTTGCAGGAACTTCAACAGATGGACGCCTCTAGACCTAGCTGCTTCCAAAGGTTGGACCAAAACTTGTCTGATTCTCTTAAAGGAAGATGCAGCGCTGGAACCCACTGATAAGAATAAGGTCTCTGATTCTCTCAACCATCAATTTTAGGTCTCTGATTCTCTCAACCATCAATTTTAGGTCTCTGATTCTCTCAACCATCAATTTTAGGTCTCTGATTCTCTCAACCATCAATTTTAGGTCTCTGATTCTCTCAACCATCAATTTTAGGTCTCTGATTCTCTCAACCATCAATTTTAGGTCTCTGATTCTCTCAACCATCAATTTTAGGTCTCTGATTCTCTCAACCATTAATTTTAGGTCTCTGATTCTCTCAACCATCAATTTTAGGTCTCAGATACTCTCAACCATCAATTTTAGGTCTCTGATTCTCTCAAACATCAATTTTAGGTCTCAGATACTCTGATTCTCTCAACCATCAATTTTAGGTCTCAGATACTTTGATTCTACCAACCATCAATTTTAGGTCTCAGATACTTTGATTCTCTCAACCATCAATTTTAGGTCTCTGATTCTCTGATTCTCTCAACCATCAATTTTAGGTCTCAGATACTTTGATTCTCTCAACCATCAATTTTAGGTCTCTGTTTCTCTGATTCTCTCAACCATCATTTTTAGGTCTCAGATACTTTGATTCTCTCAACCATCAATTTTAGGTCTCAGATACTCTGATTCTCTCAACCATCAATTTTAGGTCTCAGATACTTTGATTCTCTCAACCATCAATTTTAGGTCTCTGATTCTCTCAACCATCATTTTTAGGTCTCAGATACTTTGATTCTCTCAACCATCAATTTTAGGTCTCAGATACTCTGATTCTCTCAACCATCAATTTTAGGTCTCAGATACTTTGATTCTCTCAACCATCAATTTTAGGTCTCTGATTCTCTCAACCATCATTTTTAGGTCTCAGATACTTTGATTCTCTCAACCATCAATTTTAGGTCTCTGATTCTCTCAACCATCATTTTTAGGTCTCAGATACTTTGATTCTCTCAACCATCATTTTTAGGTCTTAGATACTTTGATTCTCTCAACCATCAATTTTAGGTCTCTGATTCTCTCAACCATCATTTTTAGGTCTCAGATACTTTGATTCTCTCAACCATCAATTTTAGGTCTCTGATTCTCTCAACCATCATTTTTAGGTCTCAGATACTTTGATTCTCTCAACCATCATTTTTAGGTCTCTGATTCTCTCAACCATCAATTTTTAGGTCTCTGATACTTTGATTCTCTCAACCATCATTTTTAGGTCTCTGATTCTCTCAACCATCAATTTTTAGGTCTCTGATACTTTGATTCTCTCAACCATCAATTTTTAGGTCTCAGATACTTTGATTCTCTCAACCATCATTTTTAGGTCTCAGATACTTTGATTCTCTGAACCATCAATTTTAGGTCTTAGATACTTTGATTCTACCAGCCATCATATTTAGGTCTCAGATACTTTGATTCTACCAGCCATCAATTTTAGGTCTCAGATACTTTGATTCTCTCAACCATCAATTTTAGGTCTCAGATACTTTGATTCTACCAACCATCAATTTTAGGTCTCAGATACTTTGATTCTACCAGCCATCAATTTTAGGTCTCAGATACTTTGATTCTACCAGCCATCAATTTTAGGTCTCAGATACTTTGATTCTCTCAACCATCAATTTTAGGTCTCAGATACTTTGATTCTACCAACCATCAATTTTAGGTCTCAGATACTTTGATTCTACCAGCCATCAATTTTAGGTCTCAGATACTTTGATTCTACCAGCCATCAATTTTAGGTCTCCCAACCATCAATTTTAGGTCTCAGATACTTTGATTCTCTCAGCCATCAATTTTAGGTCTCAGATACTTTGATTCTACCAGCCATCAATTTTAGGTCTCAGATACTTTGATTCTCTCAACCATCAATTTTAGGTCTCAGATACTTTGATTCTACCAGCCATCAATTTTAGGTCTCAGATACTTTGATTCTCTCAACCATCAATTTTAGGTCTCAGATACTTTGATTCTCTCAGCCATCAATTTTAGGTCTCAGATACTTTGATTCTACCAGCCATCAATTTTAGGTCTCCCAACCATCAATTTTAGGTCTCAGATACTTTGATTCTCTCAGCCATCAATTTTAGGTCTCAGATACTTTGATTCTACCAGCCATCAATTTTAGGTCTCAGATACTTTGATTCTCTCAACCATCAATTTTAGGTCTCAGATACTTTGATTCTACCAGCCATCAATTTTAGGTCTCAGATACTTTGATTCTCTCAACCATCAATTTTAGGTCTCAGATACTTTGATTCTCTCAACCATCAATTTTAGGTCTCAGATACTTTGATTCTACCAACCATCAATTTTAGGTCTCAGATACTTTGATTCTACCAACCATCAATTTTAGGTCTCAGATACTTTGATTCTACCAACCATCAATTTTAGGTCTCAGATACTTTGATTCTCTCAACCATCATTTTTAGGTCTCAGATACTTTGATTCTCTCAACCATCAATTTTAGGTCTCAGATACTTTGATTCTACCAACCATCAATTTTAGGTCTCAGATACTTTGATTCTACCAGCCATCAATTTTAGGTCTCAGATACTTTGATTCTACCAGCCATCAATTTTAGGTCTCCCAACCATCAATTTTAGGTCTCAGATACTTTGATTCTCTCAGCCATCAATTTTAGGTCTCAGATACTTTGATTCTACCAGCCATCAATTTTAGGTCTCAGATACTTTGATTCTCTCAACCATCAATTTTAGGTCTCAGATACTTTGATTCTCTCAACCATCAATTTTAGGTCTCAGATACTTTGATTCTCTCAACCATCAATTTTAGGTCTCTGATACTTTGATTCTCTCAACCATCAATTTTAGGTCTCAGATACTTTGATTCTACCAGCCATCAATTTTAGGTCTCAGATACTTTGATTCTACCAACCATCAATTTTAGGTCTCAGATACTTTGATTCTACCAACCATCAATTTTAGGTCTCAGATACTTTGATTCTCTCAACCATCATTTTTAGGTCTCAGATACTTTGATTCTCTCAACCATCAATTTTAGGTCTCAGATACTTTGATTCTACCAACCATCAATTTTAGGTCTCAGATACTTTGATTCTACCAGCCATCAATTTTAGGTCTCAGATACTTTGATTCTACCAGCCATCAATTTTAGGTCTCCCAACCATCAATTTTAGGTCTCAGATACTTTGATTCTCTCAGCCATCAATTTTAGGTCTCAGATACTTTGATTCTACCAGCCATCAATTTTAGGTCTCAGATACTTTGATTCTCTCAACCATCAATTTTAGGTCTCAGATACTTTGATTCTCTCAACCATCAATTTTAGGTCTCAGATACTTTGATTCTCTCAACCATCAATTTTAGGTCTCTGATACTTTGATTCTCTCAACCATCAATTTTAGGTCTCAGATACTTTGATTCTACCAGCCATCAATTTTAGGTCTCAGATACTTTGATTCTCTCAACCATCAATTTTAGGTCTCAGATACTTTGATTCTCTCAACCATCAATTTTAGGTCTCAGATACTTTGATTCTACCAACCATCAATTTTAGGTCTCAGATACTTTGATTCTACCAACCATCAATTTTAGGTCTCAGATACTTTGATTCTACCAACCATCAATTTTAGGTCTCAGATACTTTGATTCTCTCAACCATCAATTTTAGGTCTCAGATACTTTGATTCTACCAACCATCAATTTTAGGTCTCAGATAATTTGATTCTACCAGCCATCAATTTTACGTCTCAGATACTTTGATTCTACCAGCCATCAATTTTAGGTCTCCCAACCATCAATTTTTGGTCTCAGATACTTTGATTCTCTCAGCCATCAATTTTAGGTCTCAGATACTTTGATTCTACCAGCCATCAATTTTAGGTCTCAGATACTTTGATTCTCTCAACCATCAATTTTAGGTCTCAGATACTTTGATTCTCTCAACCATCAATTTTAGGTCTCAGATACTTTGATTCTCTCAACCATCAATTTTAGGTCTCTGATACTTTGATTCTCTCAACCATCAATTTTAGGTCTCAGATACTTTGATTCTACCAGCCATCAATTTTAGGTCTCAGATACTTTGATTCTCTCAACCATCAATTTTAGGTCTCAGATACTTTGATTCTCTCAACCATCAATTTTAGGTCTCAGATACTTTGATTCTACCAACCATCAATTTTAGGTCTCAGATACTTTGATTCTCTCAACCATCAATTTTAGGTCTCTGATTCTCTGATTCTCTCAACCATCAATTTTAGGTCTCAGATACTTTGATTCTCTCAACCATCAATTTTAGGTCTCAGATACTTTGATTCTACCAACCATCAATTTTAGGTCTCAGATACTTTGATTCTCTCAACCATCAATTTTAGGTCTCTGTTTCTCTGATTCTCTCAACCATCATTTTTAGGTCTCAGATACTTTGATTCTCTCAACCATCAATTTTAGGTCTCAGATACTCTGATTCTCTCAACCATCAATTTTAGGTCTCAGATACTTTGATTCTCTCAACCATCAATTTTAGGTCTCTGATTCTCTCAACCATCATTTTTAGGTCTCAGATACTTTGATTCTCTCAACCATCAATTTTAGGTCTCAGATACTCTGATTCTCTCAACCATCAATTTTAGGTCTCAGATACTTTGATTCTCTCAACCATCAATTTTAGGTCTCTGATTCTCTCAACCATCATTTTTAGGTCTCAGATACTTTGATTCTCTCAACCATCAATTTTAGGTCTCTGATTCTCTCAACCATCATTTTTAGGTCTCAGATACTTTGATTCTCTCAACCATCATTTTTAGGTCTTAGATACTTTGATTCTCTCAACCATCAATTTTAGGTCTCTGATTCTCTCAACCATCATTTTTAGGTCTCAGATACTTTGATTCTCTCAACCATCAATTTTAGGTCTCTGATTCTCTCAACCATCATTTTTAGGTCTCAGATACTTTGATTCTCTCAACCATCATTTTTAGGTCTCTGATTCTCTCAACCATCAATTTTTAGGTCTCTGATACTTTGATTCTCTCA